GGAGGCTGCCTCCAGAGAGTTGAAAATCATATTCATATTCTTCCAGGCCCTGGATGTTTGTCAGATGATGTCCTCCACATTTGTAATAATAATATCATATATCCTGCAAACACAGCTACAGGCCAAGGCTGTAGCTCCACAGCATTGACTCCACAGGCCTGATGAGGCCTGCTAGTGAATAAGTAGGCTGCAATCCCTGACACGGTCAGCAGAGGGCAGGGCAAGGCTAGAGTAGGTAGCAAGGGGTCCCCAGCCCAGCAACCCGCAGGCCTTCCAGGGAATTAAACCTTATTCTGGTTGAACTGTTTATTCTGCACTTATTAAGTACCTACTGTGTGCCTGAATTTCAATGAGGTCCTGGAGTTTGGACAGGAATGTGAAACCGTTTTATGGATGCTATAGGCGGGTAAGTCCATTGCAAGTAATCTGGATGGCCAGCAGTGTAGAGGGCGGATGAGAAGTGACCTCTAAGCTCTTCTATGAACACAGCACTTCTCCCCTCACACCTGACCCACGTCCCTGGCCAGAGAGGCTGGGTGCAACCAGATGGCTGCCTTCTAGCCGGGCCCACTCAGCCCTGTTTCTTCATAGGATGCCCAGGGCATTGTCTCCTCCTACCATGGCCACCAGTACCACACACAGTCACACAGGAGGCTGGAGGACAAGCAGGAGAGAAGGCTTGTCTTTCAATGCTGTCTTATTCCTCATTACAGTCCACTGGGATCCACACTTGGCCCATTTCACAGACTGGAAACTGAAGCCCGGTTGCAACCTCTATCTGTTGATTCAAGTCCTCCGAACAGCTGCCTCCACCACTTTACAGTGGCCACCTGGGAGGGGACTCTGGGGATCAACATGGAAGGCACCTCAGAGGGCAGGAGGGGGCTCAAGGGAGGCTTAGATTCCCTGGGACAAGCCTGCATGTGGGCTGACCAGCTCTGGACCACCACAGCATGCCCTGGGCTTGGCCAGTGCGGGCCCATGGACCCACTCTCCCTGGGAAATGGCTGATCCTATCCTAGGTGGTCTCCCAGTGGGTCTTGGCACCCTGGCCTTCCTCCGGGATGCAGGTCTGGGACAGGAGATGGCTCACCTGCTTAAAACCCACATATGCACTATTGCTCTGATCATCATGTCTGGAATTTCCAGGAGGAGCATTTGGTCTGAAGTTGGAGGATTGAGATTCAATCCCAGTTTCCCTGAGGCATACCATCTCCTCCTCTGAACCTTAATTGCTTCATCTGTGAAATGGGGTGAATGACATAGGGGCATGAAGCTCCATTTAAGTTGTGTGTGTGTGTGTGTGTGTGTGTGTGTGTGTGTGTGTGTGTGTGTGTGTGGGTTCTGATGTTTGCTGGGATAGAGGGACCCCAGGGCTCTGGGCAAGCACTCTACCTTACAGCCACTGTCCTTGGAGTTCTGGAAGGATCAGTGAGAGCAAGAAGTCAAGTCAGAAGAAGTTTTGGAGATGGGAGGGCTACTGCAAGGCAATACCTTGTGGATAGCATCCAGCTCAGGGAAGAGGCTTGGGAAAAGTTTGGGGGTCTATTAGTTGAGGGAATGGGAGACTAGGTGGCCACTGAACACTTCTCAGCCTGGGAGGCACACTGTGGCCTGCTCTGTCAGAGCCCCCAACCAGCCCTTGCCAAGTTCTTATTGACCATAGCCCATGGCTCCTTTCAGAATCAGGATAGACTTCCGGAAGAAGGATACTCGCTGTGGAGCCTTAAATATTGAGTTCTAAGAGCAGAGAGAAGGGGGAGGCATGTCAGACACAGCCCAGGAGAACATGCATGGGTAGGAGGGAGCCTCAGTGGTTTTGGGGAGTATCACCCAGGTATCTGAGTTCAAAGGTCAGAGTGTAGAGAGGAAAAGGGTGAAGAGATAAGGATCAGATTTTGAAGGGCAGGAAGCCAGGGCATGAGTTTCCTTCATAGGCAGAGTGGGGGTTGGGGGCACTGAGCACAGGGTATCAGAGCAGATGGAGGGTGAGTGGGGGAGGGCAGGCCAGGGAGACCAGCATGAAAGGGACTTAAGGGGCTGGAGAGGGAGGCACAAGGGAACGGTACCAGGAAGGCCTCTGCATGGGAGAGAGACAGTGCCCCCACTGTCCTTGCTTTAAGTCTGTTTAGAAGAGCACAAAATTGAGTAAAATCTCTTGTTTTCTGGGGCTCCATAGAGCAAGTGGGAGCTGCTATAAGCATTTAATCAGAGCTGCTTCAAGGGGCCTCATGTAAATACACGCTAGATGTGTATGTTATGTGTGTGCGGTATATGTGTGTATCCTCCCATATACCAGCCTATCCCCTGTCTGTGTTTTCTGGCCAGTGGCTCCCACCTGCTTGGGCTCATCTTCAAATAAAATCGACAGCTTGATACCTGGACCACACTCCCAGGACGCTGAGTGCCGGGGATTGAGGTAGGGCTCAGGCATGGAACTTTCTGATTGGTATTTCTGTATTTATTGAGTCGTTAGGTCATAGCAATGTAGTATGTGCATGTAGACATATGTGTGCACAAGTCACATGTGAATGGTCCCAGGCATGAGAATACTCAGCAGCAGACACTCGAGGAACCTGCCGCCACTGTGGTCCCCGAATGCTCCAGCAGGCTACAGCCTGCCAAAGAGAACTAAACCTCTGGCTTCCATCACTGTAGGTAGTTTAGTCTGTTCTAGAACTTGATATAAGCATGATCATGTGTATACATGTGACTCACATACATGTGAACCATATATGTTCTTGGCATCTTGCTCACTTCATGGGTACACACTCTCCATGACTCCACCACCCTGTGCTAGTTAGCACATTTAATTTTGTAGACACCGTGGTTCTGTTTCAGTTGGGTTTAGATGAATGATGTTGCCTTGAATATTCTAAACTTTACTTATACATGCCCCTAGTTCTTTGGAATGTAACTGGAAGAGGATTGCTAGGACATTTGTATGGTTAACTTTAGCAAACACCATTGACTTTTCAAAGTGGCTTTGTCATTTTCCACTTCTCCTGGTGCTGGGGAGGCAATGACCCCACACCATCCCTGGTAGCCCATGTTCTCTGTGGTGACCCTCATTTACACTCCCTAGCATTGGCATTTTACACCATTTTCATTTGAGCTGTGTCGGTTAGGGGAAGTTGTGTTGCTTTAGATTTGAATTTGAACCCCTCAACATTAATGGAGTGAATGCCTCTTGGTGTTTTGGCTGTGGGCCATTTGGATGTCCTCTCTGAGAAGGGTTGGGCTGATCTCCTGGGTACCACTTAGCTGGAGCCACAAGAATGCCATATAGCAAAGCACTGGTATCCAAGGTCCATATCTGCAGGTGGGAAAGACTCTGAGCTGCAGGCTGAGCTGGGGGCTGGGCATGGAGGGTTCTACTCATTTGAAGATAGCGTAGCATGGGAGTGGGTGTCAGTCTCCCACTGGATGAGGGGGGTTTTCATCAACTGTATAGGGGCCCCCTGCTGGGCTGGGCTTGCCTCCCCTCAAAAGCCTGGTGCATTCTTTTGGGACTCAGGTTGCAAGGAGGCAGGTCTTGTGGGAAATTCCTTTTTCTGCTGGGCACGGCAGAAGAGATCTCTCATGTGCCCAGTATGTTATGCCCACCAGCTTCCACTTGGCAGAGCAAGTCTCAAGGGCTTGGGCCCAGTATCCAAGGGGAGGGAGAAGGACATCTGTCTCTGGGGGAAGGGAGTGCATATTTGCCAGAATAGAATGCTGGCACTTGGGAGGGGGGCATTTTTTTAAGACCTCATGAGACTTGAATGCTGTGCCAGGGCTGAGAACCATTGACCCGTGGTCATGCTGCTGCAAGTCCGTAAATACCACAGGTTGGGCTGATTTGATTTCATCTGCTGAAACGGCTTTGCTCAGCCCACTCTGTTCTCTTCGAGGCATCCGTATCTGTTAGAAGAGAGCCCCTGTAACAAGACTGTTGTGATGGCTGGTTTTAACTAGAGCATGCCATCCCAAGCAGAAGCCCATGTCTGATTCATCCACAGCATTCTCAGCCCTCCCACAGTGAAGAGCAGCCTTATGTGCCAGTGTGGGACACAGCTGTGACTGGATGGGAGGAAGGCACATGGCACTGTATGGGCTCATGAGGCAAGATTCAGGGTTTTGAGATCCCTGTGTCCCCAGAAGAGCGCCTGACCCAGAGTGGTTGCACAAGAAATAATCTCTTAGTTAATGTATGCAGTCATACCTGTAGAGATAGGTTTCCTGGAATGGAAATGGTGAGTGGGTAGTCATCTGCATAGCTAGGTTTAAAAGGGAATGGGTAGGAGGATGGGGGGATACGTGGCTGAGGGAGTGAACAGATAGGAGGATGGATGATGGACAGATGGGTGGAAGGTTGGATAGATGGGTAGATAGATGCATTGTTGGAAGGTCAGATGGGCTGGCGAAAGGTGGATGAGAGAGTTGAGGGGGTTGTGGTTGAGTGCATGCCCTGGTCAGTGGGTAGGAGGATGGATGGATGCGTAGTTGGATGTTTGGACACATGGGCTGCTGGGAGGATGAATGGGAGAACACGTGGGAGGCTGGGCGGGCATAGCTGTAGGTGGGTAGACAGATGCATGAGAGGATAAATAAATGGATGATGATTTGCAGGCTCAGTGGATTGGTGACTAAATGAGTTCATGGATGGCTGTGTGTATGGACTGATGTTTAGACAGATCCCACGCCAAATGAATGATTTTTTTTAAGTATGAGCTAGAGGGATGGGTCAGTAGTTAGTGCACTTGCTATTCATGCAGAGAACCCAGTTTTGTTCTTAACACCCACATCAAGTGCTGCACAGCCACCTGCGACTCTAGCTGCAGGAGCTCTGACAGCTTCTGGCCTCCATGTGCATCCACACTCAGGTGTACATACTAGCATGTAAGCCAATACACACATGTTAAAAGATGTGCAGTTGCATAGCCCTCTCTGTGGGTAAACATGGCTGTCTTGAGGGACACTCATTGACTCGGGCGGTTTTGGTTTCTGCACAGGGAATTGTCACCTGCTGTGAGTTTGCTACTGCTGAGTCTCTCTTCTGGAAGGTGGAGGAGAGGTGGCTAAGATGGCGACTGAGATCACCACTAGGGGCAGACAGCGTGCCATTGGACATGAGGAATACAGCTTGTACAGCAGCCTGAGTGAGGAGGAGCTGGTCCAGATGGCCATTGAGCAGAGCCTGGCAGACAAGACTCGGGGGCAGACCCCTGCTGAGACCACTGTGCCCTCTCAGACCAACCACCAGCCAGGCCATTTCCACTCGTGGACCAGGTAAGTGAGGCAAGGCCGATGAAGGGAAAATGGACCTCTGGGCATTCCTCAGACTTTAGATGCCCAAGGATGTTCATACTGAAACAAAATATCCTAATCTCTGACCACATAATGCACTTCATTTGTTAGCTAAGTCACACTTTGGTGTCACAGGGGAGTGGGATCCAGGATGCTTGTGGCCCAAGTCTCTTACATAAAATATTGTATTTGTATATAACTAATGCATACCCTAACTGTATATTTTAAGTCACCACTGCGTCACTTTTAATAACTTTAAATACAAATGCTATGTAACTAACTGTCATGTTGTATCATCTGGGGAATAATGATGAGCAAATGGTCTGTATAGTGCAGAACAGACAGATTTTTCAAATGTTTTTGATCCAAAGTTGGTTGACTCCATAAGGGTGGAACTGATGCTCTCTTGGGTTTGATTCTATACACTTCCATTTTCAAATCCTCTTAAGAACTCTGCAAGTAGTCTCTATGTAGGAGAAACTGAAGCCTAAGGCTGACTATCTGGCTCAGGGTCACAAGGCTAAGAATTTGGAAATGGCTAGCTCCAAGGCCCAGACCTGGGCGTGCCCTACTGATTAATGCCTGAATTCGGGGGACTGTTGTTCAGAATGGGACTGGTGCTTCCAGCTCTGCCTAGCCAGCATCTACTGAAAACTCACCTGCAAAGCAAAGGGCACCCATCTGCCCGGCACCCTCATCCTGCCCCATTCTCCATGCCTTTCTGTGGCACCTCATCTTCCCAGCTGCTGGGCTTTTTAGCAGTATGACCCAAGGCCATGTGAAAAGCCACAGGTACAGTCCACAGTGCCACCTAAATAGCAGAAGAAACAAGTGAAAATTTACATCATTTCATAGAAATTTATTTTTGTGACACTGTCAAGTTGCATAGGCTCAAGCTGATCTGGAACTCACTTGTGTAGCCCAGGCTAGCCTCAAACTCTCAGTCTATCTGCCTTGGTTTTCCCATTGCTGAGGATCCAGGCATGCACAGCCATGATCCACAATTTATATATATTTTATTTCTAAGTATCATCATTTCTACTTTTCACCAATATAAAAATTATACATGAAGGGCTGGGGAGATGGCTCAGTGGATACAGGTGATTGCTTCCAAGCCTAATGACCTGAGTTCAATCCTTGGCACCCATGTGGTGAAAGGAAAGAACCAACAAGTTGTCCTCTTACCTCTGACATGGGTACATCACCACACATGTGTCCACGTATACACACACATGAAATAAATAATGCTGAATTGTCTGCCATCAAACTTTTAAAACCACGTGTATTTCATATTCAGAGCATCGTTATTCCAAGTGTTCATTAGCCACATGTGGCCAACGGCTACCAGATTGGCCAGCACTGATCTAGGGGACACTGTCTTTGCAGGGGCAGGCAGTAAGGCACTTGGCATTTACTCTTCAAGTGCTTTTAGGAAAGAACTGTATAAATTATGAAGATGATTTTGTTGTCCCTCCAACCCCCAGCCAAGATTGTATGCATTGGAGGTAGCGTGCACAGGGACAGGTGGTATGTATGTGACTGTGAGCCATGGGCCTCAAGTGTCAGTGTCTCCAGCAACCAGTGACCCCTATGAGACCTTGACCTTGGGAGAGTCCCCCACTCCCTCAGAAGTTCTGCTTGCTTTTCTAACAACTTCAAAGTACAGATCTTGCACAGCTGACATGACTCGAAAGTGGAAGATGAGGTGTGCCAGCCCTGTCTCTGGGTGACAACTATCTGTTTACATCAAGTCACATTGCTCCATGCTAATAATGTTAGTTCACCTGTATCCAACTGGCTGTGCCAAGGCCTCCCTATTCTGAGGAGTCCTTTCCACAAGGATGTCAGGCAGGCTTCTTGGGCAATGGGGGAGGGGAACAAGACCTTCAGGCTCCTAAGCTGACCCTGACCACATCCCATTGGGGCCTCGGAAACTCTGTGTAGGGACCTGGCTCATCTACTTCCTGTTTTGTCGGGTTCAGCTGAAGTCAAACACAGGTTCCTCTTTCTCAGGACAGGACCGGATAGAGACAAGCTATGGGACTGCTACAGGAGCCACACATCTCTGAGTGCCGCAGCCTTCTCCCCAGCTCAGGAGCCCCTCTTGAGGCGTCCTTAGAAGTCAGGTCCTTGAGCTCTAGAACTGCCTCCTTCTGTGTGATAAGGCTATAGAAATGCTCTGGGACATTCACATCTGTCCAGCCTCGGTGGGTCCCATCTGAAGTGAAACTGCTTGTCCAAGGTCAGGCAGCCTTCATCTGGATCTGTCCCTTGACAACACCTTGACCAGCCCCATTGTGCAGACTCCCACCAGCAATACCCCCCATGCACACTCGTGTACACACACAAACACACACACACACACACACACACACACACACACACACACACACACTTGGAGCTATGCTGTGTCTCTGTGCCCCTTTTAACAACTTACAAAACAGTTGCACAGTGGGGCCAGGTAGTCTGTAGCTTCTGCAGAGCAATGCCCCTTTGGCTCTCCTGCCTTCCCCACCTCAAAGTCAGCTTTAGCCTTGTCACATCACCCTCTCACCTACAGAGGTCCAGGATCCCTGCAGACTCATGAACAGAACTAGAAGTTAGAGGGAATACAGGACCTACGAGCCCTGCTTACCTCTCTTTGGATATTACAATATCACCAAATAGACCCGGGGCATCACAAGGCTCCAGGGATTCCTTTTCACCCTTTGGGTCCCATGTTAGCTCTCTCTTTCTCAGTGAGTCCTGCTCTAACCATTTCCAGGATAAGCAGACTCAATGTACTTACTGCCTGTCCTGGTGGTTCCTGCATGGATGGCCCTGGATCTCTCATGGAAACCTTATTTGCCTGCTTCAGCAACCTGTGAAGTTCTAGGGATTCTCAAATCCCTCATTTGCTCTCTGAGGCCCTAGTCATGACCATACGCCAAATGGCCATTTAAAAACCAAGGGGCTGGGTGGACAGAAGAACAAAAGAGGCCCCAGGAAGAGGTAGATCTGGAGGATCAAATGTTTTCTGTGTCATTTACTGTATGTGCAACCATTTCAGGTTAGATATCTCCATCTCAGTGAGTCCTGATGTGACCACTTGTGACTGTCCCTTCTCAAAATGGCAATAGCTAAAGCTTGCTCATCTTGTGGTAATCTTTTTTTTCATGTTCTTTTTTTCTTTTGGTGCAGGGGATGGAACCCAGACCCTTGCTAGGCAAGCACTCTGCACACTCTGGTGCTCCCCGTGTCCCCCTCCTCCCCTGTAGGCAAACCCAATGTAGCAGGTTAGGGCCGTCCCCACACCTTGTGACTTGCATTCACTTCCCCCATTCTCTAGGTGATTCCCCAGGGGCCCCAACTTCATGACTGCCTCAACTTCACAGACCAGCCTCTGTGCCAAGCTGGGGAAGTCTCCTGAGAGTGTTCCCAGCCACATGACTTATTGGGGATGAGGGGACATTGTTTGCTTCAGTGTCTCAGTGCCTTTATTACTGTAGGTTTCTAATGAATATTTTCAGGAAAAAACTTCAAAACCAAGACCATACTTTTGGAACGTAATTTGTTATTGTCTTCAAAATGGAGCATGGAGTCCTAGAAAGGATGACTATAGGGGGATACCAAATAAAACATAAGGTCTCCATCTCCCCACAACCAGGCAAAGGGACAACGCTGAATACTCATGAAGGTCATTTACCAAGTCTGGCCTCCAAGAGCTCCCGAGAGGCATAGCTAGGTCCCCATTCAATGGAGAAATGGGGTCCATATATCCATGAAGTAGAGAATCTGAGGCTACTATAGATGGACCAGCAGTGGGCAACTAGAGCTTGTCTTTAAAGCCTTCAAATGCCCAAATGCCTGCATTTGCTCTTGTCAGAAGAGACCAAGGAGGGAAACATAAACCTGGGCTTGCTGGAGATGAGGTACATAGCTGGGCTTGCTTGGGATGGGGTGCATAGCTGGGTTTGCTTGGGATGGGGTGCATAGCTGAAGATGATTCTAGTCAAGCTACAGCCTCTACTGTATACACTCTGTGCTGGCTCCATCCTGGCACCTGGTCATGACCTCTCTAATCTTGCAGGCTGAAGAAGGCAAAGGTTGAAGGTACGTAGGCAGGCACAGTGGTGGTGCTTGCTGTGTTTTAACTGGGTGAGGGTGGGGGTTGTGGTGCACACAGGCCATACCTGGACCTCTTCTAGTTCATAACCTGTAACCACATCCCACGGAAGCATGTTCCTCTCAAACCAGATGACTCAGCCCAGTGGTTGGCTCTGCTGGGAATTCCCCTCACGTAGCCAGCAGAGGGGAAGTGGGGCTTTCTACTTCATTTTGCAAGCACACGAGTCCCTTGGCTTCCCATCCAGCCTGAGACTCAGAGCTTGGACACTGTGAGCAGCCACATAGCTGACCCCTAGACCAGGGTCATGCACCCTAATTTCAGTGCTTCTAGAATGAGTTCTCCTGCTTTGCTCTCAACCCCTCCCTGCAGCTCTGTGGGTGTGTGGCCTTGTCACGCACATGTGGCCTTTGACCATCTAAGAATCCATAATAATACGTGACTTAGTGATCTGCAAGCCCAGTCCCTGACACCAGGTTTGGGACAGAGCCAGGGCTGGTATATTGCCGAACCCATCATGTCTGTTTCTTCATCTGACAGAATGGGAATGACACACCCTTGCTGCCGTGGAAGGTGGCAGGAGGGTGCTTGGAAGGGCTCTGAGAAATTTGTCCTGCACAGTGGGGACCTGTGACCCTAATTATGTCATTGTACTGCATCAGCCTGGGTTCCTCACCTTAGCTACCCTTTTTGCTATTATTACTTCACATGGACTGGTCCTCATTTTAGGTGAATGTGGCAGCGTTTACTAGTGTGTGTCATTTTGCTGAAACATTTGGGCACTCTCTAGAGACTAGAGGCCACATGGACCAGGAATCTCAGGGTCTCATGGAGAACTCAGACTTGCTGACTACAGAGATAGCCTACCAAAGCTGCCTCCCCGGGGCCAGGAGGAGAAAGGGGAACACGGCGCCTGTGCAGACAGACCAGGTGAAACAGGCTATGCACATCCTTACTTGGGCTGGTGGCTCTTCGATCTGTGTCAAACTGAGCTTCTTCAACCACACAGGCAATGATGAACCCCCAGTTTGGTCCTGACACCACCTTTGCAAGTAAAGAAACAGAGGCACAAAGTTCAGGAAGGCACAAAGTTCAGAAAGAGTCTGCATACATTGAAAGGCACAGAACCAGTGTGGAGGTCATGGAGCCGAAGGGAGGGTTAGGAGGCAGGAAGCAGCCCGGCTCTGCAGGATGGAGGTCTCAGGAGCTGTCTGACCCTTGGCTCTGCTCACCTGCTGTGTGGGACCCTGGGCAGTCCCCACTCTCAGCTCGCTCGTCTGTTAAAGGCAGCAATATTAACGCCAACCTTACTGAAAATTGCTAAATGAAAGCATTGGGTAGGTGTCTTACACAGCTTAGATATGCGTGAGGAAGGATGCAATGAGTTGGTAACAGAAAGAAAATGGAGGCAAGGCAAGGGAGATGAAGGTGGCCAGGCCTCCGGCGCGATTTGAGCCATGCCTCCTCTTCACTTCTCTCTCCTGGCCCTCTCCTCTGCACCACAGCCTGGTTTTGCTGAGGGATCCACAGACTCGGAGGCCCTGCCCTGAAAGGTCAGGATACTTCCCAAGGTCCTCATTACAGTATCTGTACCCCATGGGGAACCAGCTCCAGAATGATGTCCCAAATTCTACAGACAGTCCCCTGCCTCAGGGTTCAGGCAGCAAGGTGGGGAGTGCTCGGTAGTAAGCTTGACCTACTAGGAGATGAAAAGGGGGTCAAGTCTGTTGTCCCTGCAGCCCCAGATAAGACCAGAGTGGAACAGCTTGTAGTGTGAATAATAAAAACCCAGAGATAGACATTGGGGTTCAAGATGAACAAATGAGAGGCAAAGCAGCCAAGACGCCAGAGAGCTCCTGGGCAATCCTGTCCTCAACATGGCTGGAGACTAACTGCAGGTCTGAGACCCAGTTCCTGTCTTATATACCTAGTGCTGGGATTAAAGTCGTGCACCCCCACTTCCCAGCTACTACAGCTAAGTAAGTATGGCTGCTGGGATTAAAGGTGTGTACCACCACTGCCTGGCCTCTATGGCTGTGGCTAGCTTTGCATTCTGACCCCTAGGCAAGTTTTATTAGATCATAAATATCACCACAATGGCTGTCATATCTCTACCAGCTCTTATGGGAGACTCAGTATAGTGAAAACAAAATGAAACATTGACCTGAGTCGAGTTCCCTGTGTATGCTAGTTTACTTTCTTCTACCTCAGGGACTGAACCCTGAGAAATGGCTTAAAGGAGAAAGGATTTATTCAGGTCCACAGTCTCAGAGGCTTCAGTCCATCATTATAGATCCAAGGCACAACAGAATACCTCGGTGATGGGAACACGTGACTTAGGTGGCTGCTTGCCTCGCAGTAGCCAGGAAGCAATGCAAGAGCGAGAAAAGAGCTGTACCGGCTGGTTTTCTGTGACAACTAATGCAAGCTAGAGTCATCGGAGAGGGAGGAGCCTCAGTTGAGGAAATGCTTCCATGAGGTCCAGCTGTAAGGCATTTTCTCAATGATTTATGGGGAGGGCCCAGCCCATGATGGGTGGTGTCATCCCTGGGCTGGTAGTCATGATTTTATAAGGAAGCAGGCTGAGCAGGTCATGAGGAGCAAGCCAGTAAGCAGCTCTCCTCCGTGGCCTCTGCATCAGCTCCTGCCTCCAGGTTCCTGCCCTGTTAAAGTTCCTATCCTGACTTCCCCCAGTGATGGACTATGATCTGGAAGTGTAAGCCAAATAAACCCTTTCCTCCCCAACTTGATTTTTGGTCATGGGGTTTCTTCACAGCAATAGAAACCCTAACTAAGACAAGGGCCAACGACCCATTCCTGTCAATTGGGTCTCAGGTCCTTATTTCCACCACCTCCCTGCAATGCCATCAGGCCTCATCTCGTTTCTGTTGCTATGATTAAAATATTCTGACAAAAGAAACTTAGAAGAAAAAGGTGGTTCACTCCAGCTTTCAAGCCCAGGTTCTAATCCAGCTCTGTGGGGGAAGTCACAGCAGCAGGAACCTGAGACATCTGGTCACATCACAATTGTGGTTAAGAGTGGAGAGAAATGAATGCTTGTGTGTGCTTGCTTTTGCCCATCTGGATTTCACTATTATACAGTTTGGGAGCTCTTGCTTAGGTAATGGTGCCACCCACAGTGGGCTGAGTCTTCATACATCAATTTGACTTAATTAAGACAACACCCACAGACGTACCCAGAGACCAACCCAATTTAGGCAACCTCATTGAGATTCTCTTCCCAGGTGACTCCAGGCTGTGTCAAGTTGACAAAGTTACCTGTCACATCATCCAATTTTGAACCAGTCAGTGGATCAAATCCAAGGATGAGAACAGAGACCTTTTGATCCAACCACTTCCCCAAGCCACAGCCCTGAACACTACTGTACTGGAGACAAGCCTTTAACACATGAGCTTTTGAGGGACACTGTGCTCTAGAATGAAACAGCTAAGCATTTTACACTGGCTCTTGAGACAGGGTCTGCTCTCCTGCCATTATACAGGTGGGAAAACTAAGACACAGAGAAAATAGAGAAAATGAACTTGTCTCCAGGTCACACAGCAAGTAGCATGTAGGTGTGAATCCCTGTCTGACCTTCTGTACACACCCTTTTGGGTATCTTCTGGGCTGCTGGGTCCCAAGAGGACTGTGGGTTACATAGTCCTTTTATGAGAAGCCAGCAAGGTGAGGTAGAAGGCCACATGCCTTGGCTTCTCAGACTGGCTTTCCAGTTCCCTTGCTTGCCCAGGAATCTCGTGTCCAACCCCTCTGAGACCCCCGTGGTCTTTCAGCCTGACTCCTGCCACCGACCACATCTCACATCCTCCCCAGTGAAGAATGTCACCTTGCTTCATATCTGCGCCCTTGTGGTTGGCTGGGGAGGGGGGCGGTGGGGGCG